CTGTGACCCCACCTCTTTCTTCCCCAACTTCAAAGTTTCCGAAAAAGAACAATCTTGATTGGAAGATTTCACCAAACAATACACTTCCACCTTCAGTCTGCCAGTTTTTGCATCATCAGTGCCCACTAGCCCGAACAGGCACCAGCGGTTCATGCCTTTTACTATACCAGAGTGCGATGAGCCTGATTGGTGCACCACTGGTTCCTTCCAACGGCTGAGGTTCCAAGATTGTGATCCAATGATGGTGGACCCCAATTCTCCAACATTTAACCTGGTGAACCCAAATGCTCGAGTGGTTGCTACCAATGATCCGATCCGAGAGAAGGGGAAAGGGGTGAAGGCGTGGAAAGGTGAGCGGTTTCATGATGTTGGTTTCGATGATCTTGAACTCACCCTTGGAAGCGGGACTGCTAAAATATAAGCGTACATATATTGATTGATGCTGGAATTCTCAAGATTTGAAGATTTAGAGGTTAGAATATGTATCGAATTCTTTTGAAGTGACCRGTGATCTTAAATATTCGATCTTGATTTTGGTTCTTGGTTCATCATTTTAGTGAATAGAAACCCATGTTTATGATTCATGTGGATATTGGTATGGTGAAGAAGCTTGATCATGTCTCTTGTAGAATCTGGGTTTCATCTCAAAGTTGGAAGCAATTGGCATTGAGATGAATCCTTGGTGAATCTTTTATGATGTTATGAATCAAATGAAAATTATTTGATATGAAACTTGCACTTTTGCTTGATTTTTTAGTAAATGTTTAATTTATAAAATTTTTAATAATATAATTAGTTTTATCTATATATTATATTATTATTATTATTTTATTATTACTATTTTATAAATGAGATTTGGTAAAAGTCTTAAAAACAAGTTTTGATGTTTAAGGTACTGTCTTTTTATGCATTGAGTCTTAAAGTCTTAAAAATGTACAACCTCTAATGCATTTAGTACAACTCTATAAAGCATACTTTGGTATTAAAAGCCCTTTTTTCCGTGCACCAATAGAGCAGATCTCTTTCAGAAGGTTAACTTGTTTTACTCCATGTTTGTAGTTGTCGTTATGTTTATATTAGTGGGTAATTGAGGTTTTTTCTAAGTGGTGTCATTTGCAGGGTTCAGTTGAAACGGTCAACGCAACAGAGTTYTGGTTAATATATTTGGTTGCAAGGCTAGGTTAATATGGAGTTCAGAGCACTTGGTTAATACTTSTTGTAATCTTGATTCAAGTATCGAAGCAAGAGAAACTACACTAATGATATGTGCAAGGCATAAACATGTTGAGTGTCTTAAGCTTCATGTTGCTACCAATTTGGGTTTGATAGGCATAACAATGTTGTCTTTTGTAATTTTAAAATTTATTTATGGTGTAACTATGTTATTAATTTTCTGGTTGGTTGGTTTGTAGTTTGACGAAAGAATTCAACTCTATCATCATTAAATCTTATTTTATAAAACCAGCGGAACTTCAAAATCGTTAAAATTCATGGCTCCCGTCGCATTGCGCGGGTACACAACTAGTAATAAAGTAAAGAGTTTATATTTTTTGAATTTTTTTAATGAAATCTAATGGATTCAATTTTGATCAAAATTTTCGATTTGTGGGATGCGTTTTTGCCCTCATCAGGCTTACTCTTTCCAAGTCATCCCACATCGGTGGAAATTAATAAATTTTCTTCATCCTCTACTATATATATTTGATCATCACCCTTACAAACTCAAGTGATCCACCACTCGCAAGTGGTTTTAGCATGTGTGGCTTGAGCTACAGTTTGTTTAAGTTTGTTCATAGAAACATGTTTGTTTGTTTATTTTCGTTTAGCATTTTAACAAACGAACATAAACAGTTACAAACACAATCATTTCTTAAAACAAACACAATCATTTCTTCAAACGAACACAAACGCAAAGAATTTTGTTTATTTATTATTTGTGTTCGTTTGTTCTGTTAAGTTAAATGAACTAACATGGACAATATCATTGTTACCCCAATAAAACTTCACAATGAATGTTACAAAAACCTTTTTCTATTTTTTAATTTATAAAATATAACTTTATTTATAAATTACTATATAAATTTAATATATATGAATCTATATTATAAAAAATTCAAATTATAATCTATTAGTTTTTACAATTCCATATTAATTTTTATTTGTTAATGTACATATTTTGTTAACATATTTGAAACAATTGAAACATAAATGTAATTTATACTAAAATTATTAAAGTATAAAATTACACAAATATTAATCTTTACAAAAAGTAATAATAAATGATAAATAGTAATATAAATCACTTATAATCTCAATTTGATCAAATATGTTGAATCAAATCGAAACGAAGTTGATGATAAACTCCATTTGAGCACTTTCGGACAAGACTGATCCGGGTTCAATATTTACCTTGCAAGATCCGGACTGAATCAGACTTTGGTGACCAGACCATCCTTTTTTAAGTCTTACTCGGTAAATAAGGACGACTCCTCTCATCAGGGTAAACGTTTATTGAAGAAAATGTTGCATATGGTACCGTCTTAGTGGACTAAAATCTTACCCGGTAAGTAAATGATAGTATCGAATTTTGCAACACTTATTCGGAAAACGGCCCTAACCCCTGTGCAACTCTATATCATCATGCAAATGCAGCATTCATTATGCACTAGAAATTTCTAAAATGACTGCTTCAATGAAACTCATAACTCGTAATTGCTTGTATTTGTGGATACACAATTCGTCCTTTTCGAACAAAGCAACAAAAAAAGCACGTCTTATCGACATGTTGTCTACCCGAATGTAGATCCTGCAGGAATTCAAACAGGAGAACTGATCATTATTCACTAACATACAACAAAAATCAAGAACACCCGAGAACATACATTTATTCCTTCTTCCGTTTCTAATTACCTCTATAGAATAGATATGCACACGCAAGAATTTTGTGTTGTTCGACTGCAAATACAAGCGAATTAAACCTTCGAAGGCCAGGTGGCTTGAGCCGACATTATTATTCCCACGATCACACCAAACAGCCCCAGTGCACTACCGAAGATTTCAATTACAAGAATTTTCACAAAGAGCGAAGAGTTTTGCGCATCAGACAGGGCGCAGCTACTCCCAATGATTCCCACACACAACCTGTCAAAGAAAAGGTTAAGCCTGCAACAAACACAATCTTTGTTGAAGAACTCAAAAGATTTGTATGGTTGGGACTTACCCGCATACAAGATTTGCAAAACCAACGATGATTCCAGAGGCAAATATCGCATATCCTGCTCTAAGAGACTCGGGTACATACATTTGTGAGCCTGGAACGCTTTCCAATTTTGTTTGTAGAATAATGGCCACGATAACACCATATATAGCAACGGCTTCACAGAATATGACACTGATCACATGAATGTGCAAGTTAAATCATAATCCCAAGGGACATTCATTGAATGAAACTAACGGTATTAATACAGCAATGCTCTGATGACTTTGATCAAAATAAACCATATCAAATGCATAGAGTAATTAAGACCTTAGAGGATATTTGATGGTTAAGGAAATAGAACAGAAGAGGTTAAAAATAAGTAAAATGCAGATGAAGCATCAAAGCTTTCAGAAGCATTTGGTTAGGAACTATTGTATTTAGAAATGAGTTACATGATTAACAAAAAAATATTCATGCAGCCAATCGATATTAATTCAGTAAAAAGGTGCGGCTTTCTTCCAGTATAATAGTAGAATATATAACATTTTCCTGCTTGAAATGTCCTATATTACATGCCAGATTTCCTTTCTGAAGCTGAAATTTCTTAGCTAAGTTGCATGATTACAGCTATTCGTTGATCTGATGCACATGAGTCCACCATATTTTCTATCTGAATTCAACTTTTACATTCAAGTGTACATTTTACCCTTTTGTGTGTGATGCAAGCAGTTAATCAGTTGGGAACTTGTTCATTACCAAAATCAACTTTCTTAATATTAGTGCACAACCATTTGTTGCATATGTTCAGGGAAGCAGAGGCATATTGTTTTTGGGTAAACACTACAAACTAATGTTAAAACTATTCTATTACAAGAAGCAACACTGTTTTGTATCAATGATCTCTAGTAATAAAAATTGAAGAGATTGTGTTTCACCACAAATAAGTGGTAACAGATTAAAATGATGCAACAAGTACAAATACCGTTCACCATCAAACTACCAAGATCAACTAGCAATGACGGGTTTGCATTATTTACCTTGCATGTTTTACTTGTATCCCTAGATCGACACAAATACAGTACTCACTCAACTTTGAGTCTATGCATTTTGATTTGTATCCTGGACAATTGTATCATTTGATGACTATATGTATTTTATGACCCTTTAGCATGCTAACAGTTCACCACACCAAATATTTTAGTTTTTGCTTTCTGATTGTGCAAGCATGGTAAGACTTGGCATACATGATTGTATGACTGAACCCCACACATCAGGCCGAAGGGGCATCCATAGAATGATTGTCAGTGTTCTATAGTCGAAATGGACTAGCATGCAACTACCAAATCACATGTGCATTTTACTTGTGAGATGGTTCTTTCTGCTACATTGTCTCTAGATAGTTCATGACTAAGGCTGATTATATAAATATCTTATATCCTAAATTGGATGATGTTCACTCTTTATTTGATTGACCCCCTCTCCTTGAGCAAGACTATGTACTTTCAAGGGAAAGAAGGTGTATCAATAGCATAGCATTGTAAATTAAAGATTGATACTCCATTGTTCTACCCGATGGATTTATGCGTTTGTATAACATAGTTATTCACCTTATAATGTATTTGCAATAAACTCTTGTGACTGTGTAATCCTTTAATAGAGTGCCATGCATGATTTATATTCACTTGGTTTGCTAACACTCATTGAGATGGATAAGACTCCCTTACTTTGTATCCCTTGTGAAATTGGTTTTATTGGGTATCAAAGGAAAAGGGACATTTACAACATCGTCATGGCATACTCACTTCATACGATAAGAAAGTCCTGCTTCTAGTTTTAGGGGTCAAAGGTAGCAGCTGTTGAGTCCTAAAAGTATCATAGCAACACTTATATGAAATGTATTAATACGGTTTGTTTTTTAAGTTCAAGATATCCAAACTAAAAAATATTGGTTGTTTTCTCCAAAAGATTCAATACACAACTGTAGAGCATGATAGAGCATTCAAACAAAGCTAGACCAATTTCTTACCATCCATGAGAACCATATGAAAAAAGGTCTATAACAAAGGCTTCTTCCAAAACATTATTACTTCTTCAACCATAAAATTGAAATGTCACCACTTGCACTCCTTTCACATGAAATTGTAGAAGTCTAAAAGATAAAAAAGATTTAAAAAGAAAAAAAATGACAGCCTCAAGCATTTTCTCCCCAACCTAGTTGTGAATGCTATTCATGAAACCAAGAAATTGGTAAGACAAGAAAACAGTAACCATAAGAAGGTGAACCCCTTGGGTTCCCAACACATTCCCCTTAGAAGCCAACTCCTTTGATATACTCAACTTATGCAAATATATGTTCACTACTTCCCCCGCCTCATTCTTACTGACCTTTGCCTCTCCTAATAAACTAACCTTGTGGTAGAAGTATCCTCTTGTAACCAGTTCATTCAAGAGTCTAAGTGTGAGATTACGGAACAACTTCAAACAACGTGGGAAGATATTTTCAAACTTGAAAACCAAAATACTTTCAGAAGCAAAAGTGAACGCTGGTTAATGTTTTTAGAAAATATTGTTAAAGCTGAGATTTTCTTGGATAGAGTTTATTAAAAATATATGGGATGATAAGATTATTTTCTTGCATTATGAAGAACTATGATATGGGCAAGTGTTGTTGACATACATTATGCCACTATTGAGGGAATTATCAAAGCACAGCCATTGGTCTTGGACCCATCCAGTATTAGCCCAGCTTGTTGATCTGGTTGCCTCTATTTCTCTTAATCCGTTGAAACCTGACATCTCCAAGAACTCTAAGACATATTGGACCCCTCCTGCATATGACCAAATATTTATATGTCCCTTTGGAACCAAATTCAACATATGAGGAGGTGGATGTATGGCTGGAGGTTGTGCAGAGCCTTTGTACGACCAGCAACCGTGCTGTCATTCTCAGTTGGCCATAGTGGACAGGGTTAGCACCAAGCATAGATTGTGTTAAATGTCAATCAGTAGTTTTAGATGGAGACGGTTACGTTCTTAAGCAAAATAACGTAATTCATTTTCTTCCAGCATTTATCGCTTATACTGCTTCATCTACAGCATTTGGGCTGTTCAACAGCAAAAGCTCTGCCACTCAAGTTCTGGTTAAGCAAATCTCTCTAATTATAGTAGAAGTTCGGGGGACTTCACTCAGTCAGGAAATCCTTGGTTTAGGATTGCGTTGCTTGGTCTTGTTGCATTTGGTGCCCCGATATAGCCTTGTATATCTCGTTATTTAGTTTACCAAAAGAACATCAAGCATCCAACCAAAGCCAACAATAGTTATAAGATCACGTTCTCACGGTTCAAATCAGAACTAAATCAACCAAAATTAAAATGTACGGCAAATATAGAAAAATCTTAGGGCTTTTACTTATCTCATACCTTATAAGATTCTTTGATGTAATACGAGGAGCTTTGATTGCCGCACCGATCAAACTACTTCCTGTTATATAAATTCCCCTGCAAAACCATAAATAAACATTCAAATCAATATAATTCTCTGCATAGTGATAGACGATTGATCGAAGTGAATTAGTGTAGTTAAACGGAATTACCAGGCGGCGCCTAAGACCGAGACGCCAATAGCAACGGCGATACCAATGGCGGAGAAGGTATACGGGGAGATCTTTAACATTGCTCTTGCCCATGAGCCTGAAGCTCCAATAACAATGGCGCCTGACATCGATACTCCGCTTTTCTTGCTTCTTGGATCCTCCAGACCAGAGAAGATCAAGGTGGAGAGAAAGGACCACGTCTATGAGACTTTGCTTGGAATCCTTTTGTTTTGAATATTTACTAACTACCCCTTTTAGTTTAAAGTTTTCAATAAATACCCTTGTATCGTTTTTTTTTTCGCAATATGGTTGAAAGAAGAGGAAAAATATGCACCAAAGTTTGTAAAATATTCAAATAGGCCACCTAATTATAGAAATATCTAAAAGAATCATCCAACTTCTAGTTTGTTTTTGTGATTTTAATTATAGAAATTTAAATTTTAATGGAGGGAACGAGGGATTAAGGATGTTAACAAGTCGAGTTGGGCAGGCTCGAATTCGAATAATTTGTATAAACTTGTGTTCGAGCTTGAATATTTTTTTTTTCTAATGTTCGAGTTCGAACACGATACTCATTTAACAAATTAATTTGAGTTATATGATAATACTTAAAATTCAATATATATATATATATATATATGCTTGTTTATGGACTAGAACTCGATATCAGTAACTCATTTATTGGTTTGAGACTTTGAGTTGGATAATATTTATTATTTTGATTAACCATGTTTGTCTCGGAAAAAGTGTACAACTGAATAGCTTAGGTTGACTTGATTCGAAAAATCTAATCGAATTTTCGAATAAGTCGAATTAAACATTAGTGTTATGAAACTCGACTTATCAAGTTAAACGGACTTTATATTGTATTCAAGATCAATTCGAACTTAAAAATTATCAAACTCATACTCGAGTAGTTCGTTAAAAGTTCGAATCATTAACACCCTAAGTTGGACAACATATAGGAGTTGACTTTTTATTGGTTTTATGTTTTTGGTCAAAATTTATGTTTTTTTTTCCATTTATTTTGTTGTTATAAAATGTGTGTTTAAGCATTTTAATGTCTAATATATAACAAATAATTACTAAAATCTTTAATAAAATGAATATATTAGACAGAAACGGATGACATGTCAATACGAAAGCTAACATAAGTTTACATGAAAGATAATAAAACATACATCATATTTCATGAATACAAATTAATAACTCACTTTTATCATGTTGTTTACTAAATACTTACTTAGTGAGTACTTATCGGATCATTTACCTTATCAGGTGAATATGGTAAGGACCAAAAATCTTACTTGGTAAGAACGATGAAAAGTCTTACCTGGTAAGTCATTGTGACAACTCTTACCCGCTAATTATTTATATGGTAAATTGTTGCACACAGTATCATTTTGATGGATACAATCTTACCAGGGCCGTCAATTAACATGTTAAATGTGAGATTTTGAACAGGACCCCTAAAATTTTTGGGCCCAAATTTACATGTTTAGGGGATTTTATCGACGTGTGTAAAACTATAGCCGATATTATTTAGGTTCAAATTATTAATGGTTTAGGTTTAGTTTCAGATTGTTAATCGTTTTAGGTTTAACCCATTTTTGTGCTTAACATATATTCTCTATTATCTCATTTATACAATGTAATCAATAGTTTTAAATATAGCAGGGCCTCCAAAAAGATTAGAACGTCCATGAATCTTACCCAGTAAAGTAAGTTAGCGGTTGTTTACTGAATGCTTACCGGGTAAACATTTACCAAGACAAATTACCTTATTGGATGAATATAATAAAGACCAACAATCTTGCCGGATAAAAAAGAGGCAAAGACCAAAAGTTTTACCCAGTAAGTGAGGGTGACGACTCTTGTCACGGTTAATGCTTGCCATGTAAATTGTTGCATACAATACCGTTTTGTAGACTAAAATCTTACTGGATAAGCAAGTGAGAATGTTGAATTTTGCTGGTAAGCCTTTAGGTAAACAGGAAGCGGCCATCAGGCACATTTGGTGTATTTGTTTTATAAACTCAACTTAATATCCGCATATGAATTAACTTTGTACATATCTTTTTCACTTTGCTGGTTGATTTGATACGAGGTGAAAGATCATGTGAGAAGGGAGATTATGCTGAGAAACGCAAGAAGATATTTGAACTCACTTTTAATCTCATGTCCACCCAATAAATTGCGTTTTAGAAGAGAATTGATCTCATACATCTCGGTGCATCTCATTTCAATTATGATTGATCAAAGGGTGGAGATCTCTTCTTACGCTTATCACCATAACTTCTTTTTTCATCGGAACCCAACCATTTGATACGAATACTATGTATGCATATGCATTAAGGGTTCAAGATTAATATGATCCTTGTTTCTATAAAAATAACCATTTGACAACTCACTTTTGCGTTTGACATTGTCTTGCAATTTCTTATACCCTTTTTCGTATTTTATTTGACATTTAATCGTATATGAAGTTATAATTGTAATTTTTCTGCTAACTTAAATAGGGTAGTATTGTAAAAAACAAAACTACAAGGACTAGAATGTCAAAGTAATAAGTTTAAAGGAAGTAAATGTAAATTAAGAGACGAAACACAAATTCACGCCCCCAGAGAGTTCTGGAGCTTAAAACACGGCAAGAAACCCCTCTTTTACCCACCGCAATCGAATCATCGTCTTCTTGTGGGTACGAGCAGAGAGATCAATCAGAAAGAAACATGGGAGCAGGTCGTGCAGTTTCAATCTCATTAGACGGAGTGCGGGACAAAAACTTAATGCAATTGAAAAAACTCAACTCTGTCCTGTTTCCTGTTAGATACAATGATAAGTATTACGCAGATGCTCTTGCTTCCGGCGAATTTACTAAGCTAGGTATCATTCTTCGACTGGGGGTTTCTTATAAATCCATCATCTTTTCTGGGTTAATCCTTGATTTTTATTTAATGTTTGCAAATATCTCATCTTCTGTGTTTATTATGGGTTATAATGACAACTTTTTAGGTTCTAAGCTTAACTAATTTGATTTTTTGCTGATGTATTGAATGGAATTGGTTGCTGTTAATGGCATTCGAGTTTCCAAGGAAAAAGCTTTTGACGTTTGATGTCAAACCTAGTCCTTCCCAAAATGCAAAATCTGATGTATTTTGTTCTTCTGGAAACTGACACAGATATCAATTTATCTGTATTGTTTGTTATAATGTTTAATGTATTTATGAAAAACTCTCCCGCGGTATAGAATTAAAACTTTTATGCTGATGCTTTTGCTTCTCTGAATTTGTTAAGTAAGTATAATTCCTCATTGGGGTTTGCTTATAAATGGATTATATGTTCTTGGTCAAATTGTCTTATCGTTTGTGGAATATTTGTGTATGATCTTTTTTCTTTTGGTTTTTTGTTTTGGGATGATGTACAGTTAAACCTCGATAAAGCTAGTGGAAAAAATATTCATTTAGCAGGTTCTTTATTGATAAATAAATGAATAGTCATAGAATATCAACCAAAAAGACCTATAGAGGACCCTACTCCGGATTGGGATTTACTGGGTCGGTTTGGTCCGGTTTACATGCAAACATGGGTGCAACAAGTTTGATTTGACTATTAGTCATTCAACAATATCAAACACTATCAACAAATCCAGTAATTGTTACTTTATATTTTTATTAGGGTCTTAAGGATTCGATTCTTTTTATTACTTAATGCATTTAGCGAGGTTGTTATTTTAGTCCTTGGCCTAAGTCTGGACCAGAATAAATTATTATATAATCAAGGTTAGTACTTTATCAAACATTACTTTATTGAGGTTTAACTGTAGGTAGTGGTATGGTATAATGTTAGCAAGTTTTTAAGAGCAAGCCACAAAATTGGCACCGCCTGTTTCACAGTAAAGGTCAAGTGTGTGAATCTATGTTTGAATTTGTTCCCAACTGGTTGGGGGATCTGAGACCTTGGAAGTATGTATTTAGACATTTACTTGTACATACACTGTTCCAGAAAAAAGATGTATAATCTGATTTCTAAACTGGACGGTATGATTTCTACTTCAAATCAATAAGGATTCTTAAATGGGAAAATCTTTGTATTAAGTTCTTAAGATCATCCAAGTCAACTATGATGATGATGTAAATGACATGATAAAAGCAGCAGGATGTGTTGATGGCAACCTTCAGAAGTCTACGTGCTTCGAAAGTCTACTTAACTTAATGCTTGTTTTACAGGATGGTGGGAGTTGGTATGCTTCACAAGGTAGCGTATTAGGTCACCAAAAGACATATATAGAGATGAGTGTAGCTAAAATGTGAATGCTAAGGTGCATTTATGGCCAACTACTGAGGGATGATATTAGAAAAGATGATCTAAAGGAGAATGTCTGGGTGCCACCATTTGAGTTAGCCATCTCTATAGCAATTCTTTAAACATACTACATGGAAATTTTGACTTGTATAAGAGGTTGTTAGGAGGGATAGAGGTTGGCCAAGATTGATACGGCCGATATTAAGTTAGGAGAATGCATCAAAGGAATTACCCTCAAACAGGAACTTATGAGAAAATGCTATTTATGTCACAACACTACCCTAAGAGGGGTTCACCCCATTACTTCTATTCGTTTCATCTCTTTATAATTGTTATTGTGTATCATTGCTAGCGTGCTCCGAGTAATTTGAGATAGAAGGCTTCTTGACATTGTTGTTGAACTTCAAGTTCTACATGGTACTAATATTGGTATGACATGGCACAAGACATGTCTTTTTGGCGTTGAAGTATAGTGTGGTTGGGGTATAATGTTCTTTATTTCAAACCATGATAGTGGTGTAGCAAAAAGATTTTTATCAGGGCAATAGTTTAGCAATAACCTCGGCAAAGTTATTTTTCTTATTCATCAAAAGAAAAATGGAGAACAAGAATAGATAGTGAAGGAATCAAACATAGAAGATAAGCAAGACGGAAGGGAAGAAAACGTTTGGTCTTCGAGATGAATGACCACACCTTCAAAATGTAAGGTTGAACCGACGCCTACCTAGAGCTCAATTCAGCACCTGATTAATCAAGACAAGTGTTGAAGCAAGGAAGGACTCAGACTCTTGGTCCTAATTACCACTGAAAAACCACAATTATTGACATGCAATCTGGAGAAAACAAGTCCTAATTGCTAATTCATAATGCAACCTTGAAATCCCTCAAAGAAATCCTAAGAATTCACAAGCGAAAGGATTTCAACTAAGTTATTTTTTTTATTCATCCATTAAAATGTGATTGCCAAACCACTATTAAAACTAAAGGTAAATCCTTGCCTGTCTTTAATCTGGACTTCTTTAGTCAAGTCTTGCCATAATCTAGCCTTCTTTAATGAAAAGGGAAGCAACAACATACGAAAGTTGCATAAAAGGGAATGAATAAAATAAGGGATGGTTAATGCAATATGGCATATGATTCATTCCTCAATTAATTCTTTGATCATTCCCTATTGATTATGTTGCAATTTTTTATTCCAATTCTTGGCCAAAGCAAGTATTGAAGTTCAGCCAAACGAGACTAAGGGATGGTGACCGAATTTTAAGTATGGTTATGACAGTGACATTAGGCCTCCTTTGGACTTGGCAACACATGCAAATCATTTGTTTCTTTGAGCTTGTGATCTTTCACTTTAAGTTCTTATTTATCCCACTGTCTTTAATCAAATATGTCAGGGCCTTCTTTAACTTATTGGACCTCGCTCTTGTAATCGGTCCAACAATTTCTTGAAATGGATCTCTCAAATAAAGATGTGAATCCTTCAAGCTTTGGATTCCTTGTGCTTGAATATGGTCAACTGCATTTCTTCAATCCTTAGTTTTTCGGGCACCATCTTCTCATCGAGTGTGTTGGCTTGACGTTCTCCATCAAATTTGTTAATACCTTCCTACATTTAAAAAATATCGAATTTGGTGCTTGTCTTTCATGTTGTATAGTGTTTCCAAAGTTTCTATTAGTGCAACAAGATCTGTCGTAATGATTAACTATTGCTTATTTGGTGTATTTAGGTTTTCTCTAATCTCCATGTGTTCGGATAAAATTATTAGTAGTGGATGGGTGGAATAGCTTCAAACAACCAAGTCCAAAGTGATGACGAAGAAGGCCTTGAAAAATTATTTCTGCTAGTGCTGTTTTCTTGTTTGCACTTATTAAAGTCTTTAAGTTACACAAACTTTTAATTTACACAAACTTATTAAGATTAAAGTATAGTTAGCTGGTGGCTTCTCCTTTCCTGTTTTAGTATATTTGTAATTGTAGGATTCTTTCTCATCATAATAGAAAATAAAAATACAATCAAGGTCTCTCTTGTTATGTCTTCGTAGAACTAGATCAAATCTATAGCTACCTCCAAACCCACAACACTTTTCTTCTTTAGAAAAAACATGTGAGATACATTCTCTCTCAATCTCTCCATAATCACACTTTGAGAAGAGAAAAAACATGGTACGTTTGATGGTAAAGTTGGTGGTTGCCATAGAATTACTCGTTTAAGCAATAGATTTGGTAGCTTTGCAGTATTTATTTTTGGTTCATTCCTCCTAAATCCTGTTACATTTGTTATTATGTATATGCTTCAGTGCTCTCTTGCTCTAAGCTCTTTTTTTTTTGAAGTATATAATATTTATATACGGCAATTAGAACAAATAAACTCACACACACTCCTCACCTTTGGTGAGGTTTGAACCCTTGACCTCCTAGAAGGCCAAGGACTCACATACCCCTAGGCCTACAGTGATCTCTTGCTCTAAGCTTGCGCACAGCTATTATTGAAAGCTTTGAGCCGGGGGGGGGGGGGGGGGGGGTTCCAGACACACTGTTATGCTAAAGTTTTAGGGGATCTGCATGAACCAGTATCTGCCTTCTGTATCTGGTCCTAGTGAGTTCTTGACAATGTGTGGAGAAACACAAACTCTAAAGTGCAATATCAAGAATGTAACATCACCCCTAAATAAGTTGATCTTGAAAGTATATCTTTATAACTTACATGTTAGACTATGACGTCAACACCATTTACAAGATGAAACTCTCTCTCTCTCTTCCCCCCTCTCTGCAGCCATGTTGTGAGTATACATGGAAAAATTACAAGACCACACCTTTCATCCAAACTAGTTGGGTTATGCTAAAAAGGAAAAACTTCGGAAATTATGAAGGTGTGAAACCCCTAAGGTTCAGGGCTGGAATAGCATCCTTTCACATGACATGCTCTCTTCTAATGAAAACTTACTTATATTTCATTAACTTAAAAACTCTCCAGTAATTCCCAAGTCAATCATGGTCCATCTGTACATCTCCTAGCTACCGCTTTTTGTATGACTCTTGCTTTCTAATTACTCAATTCAGATGTCTATGCTGGAGATGACCAAACCATCCCTACCGTGATGGCTGGGTTTATTTAAGTGATGCATGAGTAAAAGTATAAAACATAAAAACCTCTTATGTTACGAAAGATCATATGGTTTTAGGCTTCAAGCAGTTATTGGAAAATGAAGAATGATTAGCAAGAAAATGTTAAAACTAGTTTAAGCATTTTAATCATGGTCACATGCATGCCATTGCCAATGGCGTGGTCGTTTACGGTGGTGCATAGGCTTAGTTTTGGTCCGTTTCATTGATTTGGGGTAATTTCAATCACTTGTTGTTTGTTTGCGTTTGTGGACTTTTTGTTGATCAATTGTATTCATTTTTGTTTTACCATATTTACGAAGTGTTCATTTATCCATATTTGCTTCATATTTTTCATCTTGCATGTGGTCCTGTTTGTTAATCATGTGCTACTTTTATATTTGAACGAATGTTGGAATATATGATTGTTTATTCCTTAAGTAATTGTTGCATATCAATGTGCTTACTCATAAGCTAACTTCAGTTTGAGCATATGTTTGCGATTTTACCCATCGAGCCATCCTGCTCTTTATGGAAGTATTACATTCTCAAGATCTTACTACGTCTTTGTCATATGGGAATAATTGGATTTACATGTTTGTATACCGGCCAACCATGATTTTCAAACTCCATGGAAAGTGATGCTCTCTCTGTCCCATGAATATTGTGATGTTTGACATGGGACATTGCAAACAGGGAAGTGTTGCAATTTTCAAGTATCTAATAATTTCAGGGTTGGGAAAGGGATTTCCCATTGCAATTTGCATTTCTTCTATGTGCACACAGTTTCTTTCAGTGTCTCTTTCATATTCACAAGAAGGTTATTTCTTATCAAAATGTCAAGTTTGTGAAAAGAAAATGTTGTCAGATATCTAGGCATTAAAGCAAGGAAGAGAAAAGATCAGAATCAAATTACTGTTTAGGTCATTTAGCATTCATTCTACGGCTTAGACCAATATTCACATGTGATTGTAGATCCCATTTACATATTTACTTGAATTGAGATGGGATCCACAAAATGGAGAAGAAAGAACTGAGGTAGATGCCTTACAGGGAAAGATATTATGATTGTGGAACACCTAAGCAAAATACTACCAAATCACCATATATTTCAATATTCTGAAAGTTCTCGGTGTACACATCCAGCATTCAGAAAGTTGCATGTTTTGGGCTTAGAAGTCATAAAATTTTGTATTTTCCCCAGTCAAAAAAATGCTTAAATATTCTCTAAGTTTGCTTCTTTTTTTCTTCTCGGCCTTTTCAGCATATTACAGTGACATCTGTGTTGGCTCAATTGCATGCCGGCTTGAGAAGAAGGAAGGTGGGGCTGTTCGTGTATACATAATGACATTAGGTGTTTTGGCACCATATCGTGGCCTAGGTATTGGTGAGTACGAAAATCTTCTTTACTTGCTCTACTTCATTTTTAGATTCCTGATAAGCTTGACGCCATCTAAATTATTTTATGCAATGTAGTACCGGAACATAATGCATATCACCATCTCATGAAAATCACAACATTGGAATTGTGTGAATATTTTCTTGTCAAATGCTTAAACTACCGTCAATGAAGACAAAAGATGAAATAATCTTGTGGACCCGAATCACTACTATTTGTTATTTTTAAAGATGATTAGGAGAAAATATGTTATAGAACTTTGAAACTATGCTAAATATAGACTGATTTCCTATAAAATAGATTGTTGCAGTTTTCATGGAACGGGGGAGTGTCAGGAACGATCATGGGCATTTGTTTCCTGAGTTTTTTCTTCCCCATAGATTTACTCCCATGGTTCCAACTTCCAAGAAAAGAGGTAGACTTCAAATGTTTGAGGTCAAACAAACTAATTTGACTTGATATTTTTAATAAGCTCTTAGATTATCAATGTTGGTGTAAATTTTCCTTCAAAATATCATTATTTTGAGCTGGAGAACCGGTAAGTCTGACTCTGAAAAGTCAAAGCTCAGTTCAGTAGCAGATTGAGAGACTTGGTATAAGTCTCTATAAAAGATTTAAGATTCCCTAATTCATCTGTTTTGAATCTGCATACCAGTGGAAATTTGACAAAGGGTACCTCAAAGATAACAGATTGAGTATATATACACATATATTTTCATGAATCTAAACACATAGTTGTTGACATTATCACAGGTACAAAGCTGTTGAATCATGTTCTTGATCTAAGCTGCAAGCAGAACATTGGTGAGATATACTTGCATGTGCAGACAAACAACGAAGATGCCATAAACTTCTACAAGAAATTCGGGTTTGAAATCACGGAAACGATCCATAACTATTACACAAACATTACGCCCCCCGACTGCTACGTGGTTACAAAATACATTGCCCAGCCTCAATCCAAGAAATAGATGGATTCATGAAAAGAAGTGTGGAGTGTTGAGATTGTCCCAATTGGACACTGATTCTTGTTATGGATGGTAGAAATATGTAATTCTGTTTTTGAGGCCCATTTGTTCTTCTATCTTTGTTTGAAATTGAAACAGTGGTGAGTAAAACTCATGAATTTAATCATTTCTGTAGAATGATACACTGTTCCAACTTGAGAATTTAAATCACACATTTATTTATTAATCATCTGGGGTGTCTGTTTTTTTTTTCAGTGTAATTGAAGGCTTAGTTTTTTTTTTCTTATTGCTATTGGGCTTAAATGGTTCAGGCTCAAGCCTAAAAAAGCCAATACCTTTGGCAATTGGCACCATGATCACTTTTAATTTTATGTCCAATCATAAATTACCTTTAGAAGGAAATTGATCTGGTATATCTCATTGTAATTTATTTTATTTCTAATGATAAAATATTATTTTGATGACAAAGATAATGATGATTTATTATGTCGTACTAATATAGTTCAATAATTTTGTATTTGAACATATTTATCGACTAATTATTACTTTAAAAGAAAGTACATATGCAATAATTACTCGTAAACTTGAAACTTATAGTTCATTTACAGAACTTTTACCGGATAAGCGTTTATCGGTTATCACTTGCTGAGAATCTTACCCGGCAAGAGGATAGCAAAAACCGAGAATCTTATCTGATAAGTGGGGAAAAGACTCTTGCTCGGTGAGCGCTTATCGAGTAAAATACATTTACCAATGATTCATTTTGATCGCTGAAAATGTTACGGATAAACTGAAGGTGGAGACTCTTATCGGTAAGCGTTTTGTAAACGGCTCATCTTGAAGCCTTGAATGAGATATTTGTAACAAGATGAAGTTTATTTATCAAATATATATATACATGGATCCATATACATGACAACATATATGTATTATTCTAATTAATTGCGTATAACATTTATAAAGGCAGTGAAGATTGAAGCAATTATTCACAGATCTCCACCACCCTACTTCAGTACGCCACCCCGCCGGAAAAACTATCTCCGTCGTGAAGAAGAGACTCTGTAAGCCAATAACCATCCCAAAACCCACCAACTCTCTGCCAAAACAAACATTTACTCCCATAAGAATCTAATTCCAATTATGCAAACATTGCAATTTGCATCATGTTATTTATACCTGAACCATGGTAAACTGAAATGTTTCTTCTTCTTCGGGCCGAGCTCCTCGTATCCAAACCCTTTGCTTGTACAGATTCTACATCATACTCCACAAAATCAGACCAAAAACTTCGTTAACAAAATATGATTTCTATGACGAGAAGTTTCAAGTTTTAACCTCCTCAACATTTAAAGTGCTCAGAATCTTTCTCTCCTTGTGATTTAGTAAAACTCGGTACGTTGAATGGTGGAAAATTCTTCGAAACCGCTCAAACTGAATGGACAGCAAAGGATTTCAACAATTATTGATACAGCACTAGCAAAATGATAAGTTGAATATTTATGTTAATTACTGACCTGTCCCAAATCAAAAGAAGGCCCGAAATACAGAGACCTTTCAAAGGGATCAAATCCAGCAAACTGCATTTTATGATCATGGTCAACAAAACTACCCACAGGTAGAAAAAGAACAATATAGGACGTACCCTGTACATGACTTCAACCCCATAATCTGGACGTGGTTGGTCGTTGAACATCAATGCATCAAGTTGATATTGGACAGAATCTTCTGCACTAAACTACAGCCAGAGATTGAAGTAAATGAAAACAATGCACTAAACAGCAGTTAGATTCAGTTGATTAGAAGGTTACACTTAATCTTGGACCAAAAGGTCTCTTCCTGCGAGATTCCAGCCTGAAAGATTAAATCAGCACCAAATTAACACAAAAGGCTGTTGCTTGAATGCAAGAAGTCGGATATTAACATGCAAAAGACATTACAGCATAAGGGCATTAGAAAAGAAACTGCTCACCACCCAAAAGAAGACTTCAATCTACACTTTAGAAGGAACTTAGAAACAAGTTTCTAGACAAATGTACCATTTATCAAATGCATTAACAAAATGGGCCTTTATATATAATCTTTAGAAATAGAAGTTCAAGATCATCAAATTCATCTCAATGTTAGATTTTAAACAGTCCCCTCTTTTCAAGATGATTCATCGACTATTCCAACCTTATACTTGGTTACCCATAGCAAGCAAACCATCATTCAATGGTTCAAGAAATAAAATAGAACGCCACCCTTCGCAAGAATGAAAGATTTTGGGCAAAAAGTGTCTTTTTCTTGCATTTATTTTCATAATGTGCAACCAGAATGTATTTTTGGCATTAACAGTAATAATGGTTGGATTCAAATAGAAAAGCCAAGCATAATTGTTAGAAAATAGAAAGTGGATTCATCTTTTTTATGGACAATGAAGGTCTGTAAAGTGGATTCTTTTTTTGTGAGGAGGGAGTACCATATGCATAGCATCTGTCGATGCCTCTAATCAAAGTTGTTTCAATTGTCCCAAAGAACTTTGAGAATCTTCACATAATTCATTTCCAATCATGGGTAAACATCAATTTTTAATTTTGTTGTAGTTAAATTGGTAACAAATTAGGTCATCGATAATCCTGATATACCTAAATACATAACCATTTAAAAGTACATGTATCTGATTCTTCCTTTTTAACCAATTTGTCGTGGTCCAGACGAAAATCAAATGTACCTAATTCATGAAATTTGGATTCATTCAATTTTGGTTAACCTAATATGTTGAAATTAATAATTAACACAATTCTTTCCCCCTAATCTATTAACTGCCTTAAATTTCTGACTGTATACCGAACTATGAATCAGAAGACAAAAATTGGAATCAAATTCGGAACATAAAAGTTTGATTCAGGGAGAGAAAGAGGGTACCAATCGACAGAAAGAAAGTCTGGAACATCGGCAGAAGCTCTGAAGCGGGAGGTAACAGATTTGGTGTTGCCATTGAAAGGCTTGGAGAAGAGTGACGATGAAGATGACAACCACAACGACATCGTTTACTGAATAATACTTTTCTAAATCTCTGTTTGATTTTCTATGAAGATCACTTTGAATGGCCGTTGTTTGGTTTTCCAAAAGCCCAAATCGCGACACTCAAGAAATTGGGAACATTAATTTTTTATTTCTTAATAGTTTCGACTGAATCTTTAAATGGTTAATTTTGTTTGGCAAAAAAAAATCTGTCTCTTAATGATTCTAAAATTCTCTGAATGATTTTGTTAGGGGTGAGCATAGGCGGGTACCCGCCTTTTTTGATAGGAACCGGAACCGGAACCGGAACCGGCGGTTCTTGAAATATTGGAACCGGAACCGGAACCGGTTAGAGCGGTTCTTGAATTTTTGGAACCGGAACCGGAACCGCCGGGAACCGGTTCCGGTTCCGGGTACCCGCTTCCTAAAATATTAAAATTTTGTTATTTAAAAATAAAAAATAAAACATTGCCAAAACATTAAATAAATAAGCAACTTTCAAAAATAATAGAGAATAATGATTACAAACCATAATAGACTAATAAAAAAATGTTCAAAAATTTAACTATTACTTCGTAGTTCGTATGTAATCTGATGAAGAGTGAAGATGTTGAATGTAAGAAGTCAAGAAGATGAAGAATGGAGTTTGTTACAATGACGGCGTAGATGAAGAATGGAGTTTACTCTAAGAAGTAAACCTAATTTCCTAATATAAATGTGGTATAAAAAAATAATAATTAATTTTTATTGAAAATTACCGGGTACCCGCCGGTTCCGGGTACCCGGTCCCGGAACCGGTCCCGGCGGGTACCCGGCGGGTAACGGTTCCGAAAAATTGAGAACCGGAACCGGAACCATTCTCAATCGGTTCCCTATTTTAGGAACCGGAACCGGAACCACTCATATCGGTTCCGGTTCCAGAACCACCGGTTCCAAGGCGGTTCCGGTTCCGCAGGCGGGTACCCGGTTCCGCTGCTCACCCCTAGATTTTGTATCCTGAAACTCTCTTAACCATTAAGAACCCTAATTTCATCGTACATAATTACCAAACAATTATATTTCATTTTGCACTGTATTATGAAAAGTTTCTTAATCATTCTGACCGTTTAATCATTCTGCACAAAACCAATCAACAATTGACAAACAACCCCTAAGCATTTATATTTACTTCAAATTAAGATTCATTTTAAAAACAAACTTTTGAAATTTACTCTCATTTTTAAATACATAAATATTTAAGAGTTGTAAAGAGAGAAAAATAAAATAAAGATAAATATGTCATTTTGTTAGCAAAAAAATGTAATAAATATGCATACCTAAATGTATATGCAATTTAACTGTAGACTCTTATTTTAGGACGGATGAAGTATCTGTTTTTATAAAGAAATGCTTACTTTTTCATTATATATAATTGGAGAAATTTTTTCTCTATTAGAAAATCTGTTGAAGATACTCTTACATATTAACATATAACTTTTTATATATCAGATGCATTCATATACGGATAAAAACATACGCGTGTTCACATTTTTCCTTTCCACAAAAATGAATAAACACATATACTAAAAGACACATACAACAAATAAAAAATACAATGTAAACAAACGTACCAAAATAGAGATGGAATTTACTAGTACCAATCATTATCCTCCCCTACCCCTTATGTTAGACAAGAAAACACATAAAAATAGTTCTAGACGACACTTATACTATTTTGACTTTCCCTACCACATAAAAACACATGTAAGTGGTCTTGTTTCCTTTCCATTTTATAAAAGTCACAATTTAATTTTAAATTAAAAAATATAACTTGAATTTGATAAATATTTATATGATATTTTTTCGTCCAGTTTTATCTTATCTTATTCGGTCTAATTATACATCTATATTATATTATAAAGCATTTGACAAAAAATTTAAAAATCATTTTATATCATAACGTACTGTTTATTGATGCATATTAATTAAATTTTAAGATTGCAAGTAATTTTGCATAAGTACAACTTATTAAAACTTTATTTTTAAATTTGTGTAACTAACTACAGATAAGCATAATCAAATACTGGATAAGTATCTAATTTTAAATATAAAAAATTTAAAATATATTTAAGATAATCATTGAATTATAACAAAATATTAGTTATTATCTTTATACAAGAATGATATTATTAAATAAAAGATAAATTATTCCATTATTAAATCTAAAATGAATTATAATAAAAAAATTGAATTAAATAAATTATACAAAAAAAACAAGAACTTTTAAATATTTAGTTTGATACTAAAATTAATATATTTTTAAAAAAAAATTATGATATTTTCAAATTTATATTTAATTCAAAAAATAAAAAATTATCGTTTTTTTATTACCATATAAAATCATATTATAATATTGATGAAGACAAAATCAAATAAAACATTAAAATCAAAATGTATCTTACTGTACTGTATAAATATTCTCCTAATAAACGTCAAAAAGAAGTTTGGTTTTGAAAGTTTGAGATGGTAAAAGATGGTGTGGAAATAGTTGTAGTCGTTTTGGGCGGAAGTGGTGGTGGGACCATGAACCTGACCCGGAGTGCACATGAATTTGACCGCTAAATGGGGGGCGGCTACACGCTACAGAGTACAGCCTACACCTCATCCATTTGGTTACAAGGTTGGCCAGATACAAATCAAGTTTGACCTTCATAATTTATGTTAGTTGACCATATTCTTTTTTATAACATAATAAATTACATGTTTGATTTTTTTTCCCTTTTAAATAATTATAGATAATAGCCATGTGATTTTTTTAATAATTATATATATTATAACTTATAATATGTATCACAAAAGTGTTTTTAATCTTTTTAACTCTGATAAAAAGATGAATATTTTTTTTATATTAAAATCATATTAAATCATGTATTAAAAATTAAGATTAGATAAATCTTGGTTTTTGTTAGGGAAGAAGGTTGGAGGAAGGAGAGGGTAAAAAATAATAGAAATTTTAGAAAATAGTAAATGACAAAAATACCCTAAATATTAACTGAGATTTTTAGCAAGTTAAGACAAGGAACTTGAGATGTTATAAAATGTAAACCGTATGATTGTAATCTATAATTATTTAAAAAAAAATAGACTTAAAGCATCATAACATGTAAACAATATAAACCAATCATGTAATTTACTCTTTTGATACTATTATATTTGTTTTTAGTTTTGTTTTTGCTGCAAATACAAGATACTTCGTAAATGGATAAGAACAAGATAATTTTATTAAATACATATTAAAAAAGAATTATAATATACATATATATATATATATATATATGTGTATGTATAATCAATATAAGTTGCATATTCGTCTTGATATGCTACTGTAACATAAGAATTTGTTTTAAACCAAAAATGAAAATTTAATTCTAACTTATTATCTATGAAAAAAAAATCAGATTTTATATTTAAATAAAATAAAATTTGTAATTAGCGATTGAAATGTCTTGTTAATTTAAAATTTTGATAAAAACGAAACAATAAATCGTTATCTATGTCAAATTAATAGAATATAATTGTTTTTTATAATTTGTTTGATTCGGACTTAAATATTATAAATTAAACAATAAAAAATTAGTTTATCTTCGATAGAATATTTTGTTATATTTATAGGATTTAAATATTTTATGCATTTTTCAACATTTTCAACAATCTGTTATACAATTAACAGTTGTTTTGGTATTCAAACGTAAAACTTTAAAATTTGTATATATGCAATAATAAATTCTACTGTTGATTTATAAATATTTTAAGAATATAAAGTAAATAATTTAAATTTTTTTCAACATATTTTTCTAAAACAGAGATTTTAAGCATTTTTGCTTTGATGAATTTTATAAAATTAAGATTTTGGGGATTTTTACTCCAATATGAAAGAGATGGTAGAGAATTCTTCAAAAATTATTACCTGTGAAAAGAAAATATTTTTTATTATTCCTATAAAATCCTTGAAATTAAATATATAATAAAGAAAACTAATTATATACAAATGTATTAAATATTTTAATAATATAATTAATATTGTAATTTTCAAAACTAAAATATTGTTTAGAGATTTTGCTTTTTAATTCTATGTTTTAGAGGATCTCTTAGAGATATTCTTACAGCATAGTTTGGGTGATGTTGTGTGCACACATGTCCATACTCTAAAAATACTAATCATCATTACAACATTATTAATTACTATATTTTTTTTTTCTCTTCTTTCTGTTCTATCTTATCATTACGTTCATTATTAATTATCTTTTTTTTATTTTTTATTATCATATAACAAAAATCATGAATATTATTATATAATTATAAATCTATATTATATTATAAAATATTTGACAAAAACTTTTAAAAATTATTATTTATGCATAAAGTACTCTGTATTAATGCATATTACTTAAAGTTTAGAATTACAAGTAAATTGTGCGTAAGTACAATTTATTAAAGCTCTATTTATGAATTCGTATAATTAACTGCAAATAAACATAATCAAATATAAGATAAATATATCATTTTAAATAAAAAAATCTAAAATATAATTAGGATAATCATTGAGTTTTAACAGAATTGTTATTTTTATAAAAATTATATTGTTAAGCCAAAAATAAATTCATTTGCTATTTGATCTAAATTGAATTAAATAAACTGTACAAAAAAAAAACTTAGAACTTTTAAATAGTTAATTTGATATTAATATCGATATATGTTTTCAATTTTTTATGATATCTTCACATTTATTTTTATTCAAAAGTAAAAACATTATCTTTATCGAAACCACATAAACCGTATTATATAAATAGAAACAAAAAATAAAACAAAACATTAAAATGAAGATATATATCTTGTTACATTGCGCGAATACCCTTTTTATTATTACTAATATAAATTTATTTTATATGATATCATTTATTTTTATTTAATTTCATCTTTTAATATATATATATATTGCAACGGTTTATTTGTATTTTTATTTATTAACTTTCAATTTATTATGTTAGTCATCCTTTAATTGTTTTGATTAAATTAATTTTTGATTCGCTCAGCAACTGAAGTTAACTACAAGATATTATTATTTTCAACTCGAGATCATACAAGAACAACTGAGGTTGGTGAGAACATCCAAAATACCTTAGAATTTTTTTAATGAGTATTTTTATCTGATAGCTCGTAAAAAAATGCTACATTTTTCTTAAATAAATGAAACTTCAATGACGTGCTCAAAATATCGAAACTTCGTTCATTGTCCATTTTTCACCCACCTTCACTTTCGATCATCTTCACTTTTAATCACTTTCACTTATTTTCGCATACTTTTTCAGTCACGGTGACGGATACAAAAATCATAGTGGTTGAGTCGGACTTCAATAAGTAAGTTTAACGTCAAATCTTAATTTTATAAATAACATCAGTGCCAAAACTTAATAATTTAGCAATTAGCAAACCGACAGTTGATGCGTAAAAAACTTACAAAATCCTAATTTTAACAAATTGTAACTAACAGTAGGTTCTTTTCTTAAAAACAAAGTATGATGACAGTTTTAAATTATGCCTTGAGAAATAGGCTCAAATGACTGTTTCAAATATCTAAATTGATTTTCTAATCATTTCTCTTCCGGATTAACTCAAATGTCATTATTTTCGTAATATTCAGATCCGTAATATTTTTTTCAATCACTAAGAAAAAAAAAGGTGCTTGTTGCCACTTGATTGGTAAGGTTGTTTACTTTAATAAAGTCGAAAAGTGTGGACTTAGCTAAAAGACAAAAAATATCAAATTCAACCAGTTTTATTATCGCATTTGCAGACCTAACCGTCGCTTGCATACCTGTGTTGATTTTTTTTTTACTTTTTAGTTAAGTCGGGGGATCTATATATTGCAGAAGTAGTGACATTTGGGTCCTCCTAAAAAAGGAATGATTAAAAGACAAATTTAAATGTATAAAATAGTTGAGTCAAAGAAAGCAACGTGAAGTCCCACAATTTTTTAATTGATCATAACCTTAATATCTCATTTATAATTTGGAGTAAAGAGAATTAATTGTAAAAGAATATCTTTTCTTTTATTTTGATCAGGTTTTAACATCTCTAATAAAATTTTCAAAGTAAAAATAGAGAAATAAAAATTAAAATATTAAAAAAAATTACATTCATCTCCAAAAGATTTTCTATTTTAAAAAATTCAACATTGATTGAAATATTAGAATATTTCATTTCTCTAATAAAATATTATTTCTCTCTCTAAATAATTATTTTCAAAAGTTTTATATTGGTAGAAATATAGTAAAAATATTTCTCTCACATGGTAATCATTTTTTTTATGATCTTCATATTTGAAAAAAAAACTTTTCTCTTTCTTTTAGAGAATCTGTTGGAGCTCAATTTTAGTTTTAAATATTTATTTTATGTATTTTGAAGAATCTGTTCAATTTTAGTTTAAAATTTTATTTTCTTCATTTTAAAAAATCCGTTAAATATGCTATAAGGACCCCGTAGCTTATTATGTGGCTAATCCCCTATTCAGTCACATTTTATCTATACTATATTATAAAATATTTGACAAAAACTCTTAAAAATCTTTTTTATGCATGTAATACTGTTTATTGATGCATATTACTTAAAATTCAGGATTACATATAATTTTGTGTAAATACAACTTATTAAAGTCTCATTTTTAAATTCTTGTAACTCTAGATAAACATAATCAAATACATGATAAACATTTATTTTAAGTATAAAAAATCTAAAATATAATTAAAATAATTATTTAGTTTCAACATAATGTTTAATTACTATCTTTATAAAAAATTATATTATTAAAACAAAAATAAATTACTTTGTTATTAAATCTAAATTAAATTATAATAAATTTTTAATTATAAAAGTTACACAAAAAAAATCGAGAACTATTAAATAGTTAATATCTCATTTATAATTTGGAGTAAAGAGAATTAATTGTAAAAGAATATCTTTTCTTTTATTTTGATCAGGTTTTAACATCTCTAATAGATTTTTTAAAATAAAAATAAAAATAGGGAAATAAAAATTAAAATATTTAAAAAAATTACATTCATTTCCCAGAGATTTTCTATTTTAAAAAATTCAACATTGATTGAAATATTATAATATTTCATTTTTCTAATAAAATATTATTTCTCTCTCTAAGTAATTATTTTTAAAAGTTTTATATTGGTAGAAATATAGTAAAAATATTTCTTTCACATGGTAATCATTTTTTTTATGATCTTCATATTTGAAAAAAAAAACTTTTCTCTTTCTTTTAGAGAATCTGTTGGAGCTCAATTTTAGTTTTAAATTTATTTTATGTATTTTGAAGAATCTATTCAATTTTAGTTTAAAATCTTTATTTTCTTCATTTTAAAAAATCCGTTAAATATGCTATAAGGACCTCGTAGCTTATTGTGTGGCTAATCCCCTATTCAGTCACATTTTATCTATACTATATTATAAAATATTTGACATAAATTCTTAAAAATCTTTTTTTATGCATGAAATACTGTTTATTGATGCATATTATTTAAAATTTAGAATTACAAGTAATTTTGTGTAAGTACAACTTATTAAAGTCTCATTTTTAAATTCTTGTAACTCTAGATAAACATAATCAAATACATGATAAACATTTATTTTAAGTATAAAAAATCTAAAATATAATTAAGATAATTATTTAGTTTCAACATAATGTTTAATTACTATATTTATAAAAAATTATATTATTTAACCAAAAATAAATTACTTTGTTATTAAATCTAAATTAAATTATAATAAAATTTTAATTATAAAAGTTACACAAAAAAAATCGAGAACTATTAAATAGTTAATTTGATATTAATATCGATTTTATTTTTTTATATAAAAAATAAAAAGATTATTGTTTTGTGAACAAAATCGTGATATATCGATAGAGATAAAAAATAAAAACTAAACATTAAAATGAAAATTTATCTCAATGTATTACGCGGGTATCCTTTTAATATATATAAATATATTAATGTTTTAATTATTGAGTTCAAAAGATAAACGAAGGTGAGAAAGGTGGACAAAATTGTAAAGCAATCATATTTATTGGATCAAAAAAGAAAAACGGCTCTAAAATATTCACTCCGTTTTCACTAAAAAAAAATTGTTGTTATCGGAATTCAATCACGTTATTCTATTTGTAACAGGGAAAAAAAATCCAAGATGCTTCTCGCACAATTCGAAGAAGCTTCTTCTAATTTTCTCGTCATCGTGCGTTGTCGATATATTTGTGATTAGGGTTTATTCAATAAATTATTCAGTTCACCCCCCCCACAAGTAGTCGAATTTCGAATTCAATTTTGACAACCACAAAACAGCAGGGCTCTGATTTACGATTTAAATACCCAGTCGCCTCTTCCATTTTCACCCCCACTCCCCCCAACTCATCCTCTCATCGATCACTCCGCAATCTCTCTGCGTGGCACATTGTTCATGCTCCAGGTTAGATTTCTCATCTGGATTTCTCATAAATACCAATTGCCTCACTTGGGTATCTGTAATTTATGATTATTTTAGAGATTTTGATCGTGAAATCGCCTTTGTCAGGATAAATAATTGTGGGTTTCACTGAAGTAGACGAAATCTTTGATGATTTACTGTTATTTTAGCATATTGAAGCTTTATTTTTTGTTAAATTTTCATTCTTGTTTTGCAGGAACTACCCTCATCTGTGATTCTCTGTTCCAGATCTCAGGTCAATCCCTTTGACTATATCATCATTTGTCGATTCGGATTCTGAGTTCTTAATTCGTTTCATAAAAAATCAGATCTTGGTTTTGTGTATTCTGTTGTATTCCTAGCTGTGTTTTGATTTCAGAGTGTTGATTGGAATTGCATTTCTGCCAAGATGAGTGAGGTTACAGAAGTCAAACCCTTGATTTCACAATCTTCCTCTAGAAAACTTCCCGATTTCAAGAAATCTGTGAAGCTTAAGTATGTAAAACTGGGGTATCACTATCTTATAACCCATGGAATGTACCTTTGCTTGTCTCCTCTTGTTGTTGTTCTTGCTGCTCAACTGTCAACTTTTTCGCTCCAAGATGTTTATGTTCTTTGGGACCATCTTAGATTCAATCTCATATCGGTCGTTGTATGTTCGACCCTTTTGGTCTTTTTGTCTACCCTTTATTTCCTAACTCGTCCTAGCCCGGTTTACCTTGTCAACTTTTCGTGTTATAAACCCGAAGAAGAGCGAAAATGCACCAGGCAGATCTTTATGGAGAGATCAACTGCAACTGGTTCATTCACTGAGAATAGTCTTGAGTTTCAGAGAAAGATTCTTGAAAGGTCGGGTCTTGGTGAGTCAACTTACCTTCCGGAAGCTGTTCTTAGAGTACCTCCAAATCCTTGCATGGAAGAAGCAAGAAAAGAGGCTGAGCTTGTAATGTTTGGTGCCATTGATGAACTCTTAGCAAAAACATCTGTGAAACCAAAAGACATAGGGATTTTAATCGTCAATTGTAGTTTATTCAATCCAACCCCTTCATTAGCTTCGATGATTGTCAACCATTACAAACTTAGAGGCAACATTCTTAGCTTCAATCTTGGTGGAATGGGTTGTAGTGCTGGTTTAGTCGCCATTGATCTTGCTAAAGATCTTCTTCAAGTCCACCCCAATTCATATGCGTTGGTAATGAGCATGGAAAACATCACATTGAATTGGTATTTCGGGAATGAAAGATCTATGCTTGTTTCAAATTGTTTGTTCCGAATGGGAGGTGCTGCAATTTTACTCTCGAACAAGACCTCTGACCGAAAAAGGTCAAAGTACCAACTGGTCCACACGGTTAGAACACACAAAGGTTCAGATGATAAATGCTTTTCTTGTGTCACTCAATTAGAGGATCCAGTCGGGAAAGTTGGAGTTGCATTGTCAAAAGATCTAATGGGAGTAGCTGGTGATGCGTTAAAGACTAACATCACCACATTAGGACCGCTCGTGTTGCCCATGTCAGAACAGTTGCTTTTCTTTGCAACTTTAGTCGGGAAAAAGCTATTTAGGATGAAGATTAAGCCATATATCCCAGATTTTAAGCTTGCTTTTGAGCATTTTTGCATTCATGCTGGTGGGAGAGCTGTTCTGGATGAAATCGAAAAGAATCTGCAGCTTTCAGATTGGCATATGGAGCCATCAAGAATGACACTTAATCGATTTGGCAACACTTCAAGTAGTTCTCCTTGGTACGAATTGGCTTATTCGGAAGCAAAAGGGAGGATCAAGAAAGGAGATAGAGCTTGGCAAATAGCTTTTGGATCTGGATTTAAGTGCAACAGTGCTGTTTGGAAGGCTTTAAAGACCGTCAATCCAGCAAAAGAGAAGAGCCCTTGGATTGGTGAGATTGATCAGTTCCCTGTAGATGTTCCAAAGTTTTCTGCCATATAAGCTGAATTAAGTCTTAATATTTTTTTTCCAATTTCTAAGTTCTTATTCATGGAATTTTCTTGATTTTGAATTAGGGGTCAATGATTCTATTTCTTTAATTGTACTGGGATTACATCTTCTTTATCAAGGGATGTTATATTTTTTCAAGAACATCTTTAAGAGCTTGTGTTGTGATTCAGAACTTCGAACGTGATTCTGTTCAATCTTTTTATCGTAACTTTATGGTTCCATCCTCGGTTTCAAGATCTGGATGGTGATCCCTTTTGAGTGTAGTTTTGTAGCTTATGATGAGAAAAGTACTGTAGCATTGCAAACTGTGATCAAGAAAGCTAGTGGCCTTTTTTAATATATGGTGCAGCATATCTTTGCACAACAATCTAGCAATGGCTGCACAGATGTTCTCTAAGGTTTTGTTATCAAAACTACCGATTTTCAACTTCAGGCTGGATGAACTGCCTGAAGAGATCTTGAAGAATGCTGTAAAACTGGATGCTATAAAGATGGCTGAGAAACATCATAAATCGGTGTTGTAATTGTTCGGGACATTCACGGTTACCATAAGTTAAAGATTATGGACCATAAATTGTTCGGACCATTAGGTTATTGCAATGCGTTAAAGCGGCCCAGTGACTTTCATATGAACTGGGCTCGTGTAGTAACCTCCTGTTACTCGATGTTGCTAATGCACCGGATTTATTTGTATGCGTATGGAGATTCGGGTCTATAGATGGCCAAAAATCAGTCCTAGGTCGGGCACAAATCAATCCCGCTCTCACACTATTCTCTTAACCGGTCCCGGTCAAAAAAGGATAGCCCGGTTAAGGTTCTTTGTAAGCGGTTACGAGAACCGGTCCTGGTCTCGGGCCGGGCTCAAACCGGTCTTGTGTTTTTGTTTTTCTTTAAATTCGATTTTCACATAATTTTATTTTGAATTTTTTTTAAAGAATATAAAAATGTTATTCTAACACACTTGAAAATATTTAATTAAATCAATTAAATACACTTAAAAGTACGTTTTATTATAATTTGTTTTCCATCAAATGCACGTATTGTTAACGAGAATTGTTAACGTTCTTTGCATTTCTAAGTTGGTATCTTCCTCATTGACTTATACAAAATGTATAGAGGGTAAATGAGACAAAAAAAGAGATAAAAATGGAAGAAAAAAATAGTTATATAAACGTTGGGCAACGACTTTAAAACGACTATTTAGACGAGATTCGCGTCCCCAAACTGGTTCCAATCGGTTTCGGGCCGGGCCTATTTAACCATCTCTATTCTATTCGGGTCTGCAATAGATGAGGCAATATGAAGCCCATTAGAGGAGATTCGCGTCCATAACTGATAAGGCAATACGAAGCCCGTTAGACAATTTTCAGAGCCCATGTAGTTTACTATCTACCTGAATTTTAGACTAGAGAAAATTACGAATTTAGTCCATGTGGTTTTTTTTGTTCGTCTTTGAATACAATTTCTACAATCGTTTTAATACAAAAAAGCCTTATGATTTTTTGACTAAAGAGTAATATCGTCTGTTAAGAAAAGGGCATTTTGATCCTACATATTTTGTCTTTTTTCCTATTTGTTTTATTATGGGAGGGGCATTTTATCGACACTCCCACTAGAGGTGTAAATCAGTCGAGTTTTTAATGAGTTATTCTAGCTAAAATTCATATAACTTAACGAACCGAGCTTCATAAAAGATAATGCTCGATTCCACTCATTCAAAAGATTGATTAAATTTTTTCGAATTGAGTCGAGCCGAGCCATTCAAGTATATACTTCTCTGAGCCAAAATTCACAATTAATTTATAAAATTAAAAAATATATCAACCTTGAGTCAATAAACGAGTTAATGATCACAAATACACGTGCATAAACGAGTATCGAACTTGAGCTCGATAAATAAATAAAAAATTCAAGCTCAATCTCAAGGCCTACATTGAGACATTATTTGAGCTCCATCTTGGAATAAAAAATTTGTAGGGACTCGAACCAAGAAATATATCAAACGACAAGGACCTGCAATTTACTGTTAATATTTTTTATACTTTAACTTTTTAAATTAATTTATTTATTATACTTTAAGTTTTTAAATTAATTAATTATTATACTTTAGGTTTATTTTAATACATAATATTCAAATCATAATAAATGAACTCTTATCATTTCCATAAATATCTCAATTTATTGGGTTGCATTGGTTGTACAAATGTAACAGCTTGTATTTGAGACAAACTCTCTCTCTCTCTCTCTCTCTCTCTATATATATATATATATATAACTTTGTTATCTTATTTTGCAGGGAAATCAAAAGCTTTAAGTATAACAGGACCTCCAAAAAGATTCGAACGTCTCTGGTGAGCGTGTAGTAAAGTTTAGGGGAAAACCACATCCATCAACCATTAAATTAATTGATTTAGTGGATGTGATTAAATAGGCGTTGACAACAATATTTCTTAAATTAAAACAAACCCACCATCCCTATTTTTTATTCAAAATATAAACAAAAATTGAATGGAAAAAATGAAATATATATATATATATACACACACACACACACGCACGAAACGTATCCGTGCAATGCAGTAAAGTACGTTTCGATTTTAATGTTTAATTTTTTTGGTCTCAATCGATGTTATAATACGGTTTCATGCGGTTTTGAGAAAGTGATGATGTTTTTATTTTTAAATAAAATATAAATATGAAAATATCATATAAAAAATTAAAAACTATATTGACATTGGTATCAAACTAACTATTTAAAATTTCATATTTTTTATGTAATTTCTTTAATCCAATTTTTTTATCATAATTTAATTTAGGTTTAATAACGAAGTTATTTATTTTTTGTTTAATAATGTAATTTTTTTATTAAAATAATGCTTAAGTATTTTGTAAAACTCAATAATTATCTTGAATTTTTTATATTTAAAATGAGATGTTTATCTTCTATTTGATTATGTTTATTTATCGTTTGTTACACGAATTCAAATATGAAGTTTTAATAAGTTGTACTTGTATACAATTACTCATAACCTTGAATTCTAAGTAGTAAGTATCAATAAATAGTATTTGATGCATAAAAAATGGTTTTTAGATGTTTTTGTCAAATACTTTATAATATAATATAATATATATATATATATATATATATATTTGAAATAAAACATAGATGTATAATAATTAATATATATTAAAGTATATAATAATTAATTAAAATAAATTTAAAGTATAAAAGAAAATTTAATAATCCTTTTTTATTTTTAGACTTAGTTATAAATTTGGTTCCTATAGTTTGTGTGGTTTTATAAAATTGGCTCTCTATAAAAAGAAAAAAGAAAAAGAAAAAAAAGAATGAAAATACCTCAAAGTTAATAGGAAAATTAGATGGTCGATCAATTCGTTATAAAAAATCATACCACAAATCCTTTTTTATAATAAATAAAATTTAAGAAGCAACCTAAAAAATCATCAAACCATACGATGATACGAATCAAGTACGTAATTAACTCAAAAATATAATTCGAGAGTCGATTTGCAGGATCGTGAGGTGACCCATTTGACGACAAATGAAAATTGCATAGGCTAAAAGTTGATGGAGAGGTGTCAGTGTCAGGTGTGGGATATGGCTATTTATGTACAAAAAATATCTATATCTATATTTATTTAAATGAAACAAAAATAAACAAAACGACAAAAAAATGTTTCTTAATTAACGATTACTTTTAATTGGCGTTTGTTGAAGAGACTAAAATCAATTAATATGGAAAACTAATTAAAATTACATTTTGAACGTCATCTTTTATTATTTTTTTTCTCAAAATAATAACAATTTTTGCAAAATATAAGGAAAAAAAAGTTTCTAAACCAGGTCCGTAATTATGAGAACCAAATATGTAAATTTGAAAAAAACACAACAGACATTGCGGATCTATAACTAATTTACATATTTGATCCCTACAATTGCGGACATGATTCAAAAACTTCGTTCGTTTACACATTTGCGAATTGCAGACCTGTTGATCGAGAATATGTTACTATTTTTGTTATTCTATGATAGAAATAGTTAAGTGGTGAAACCCAACATGAAAAATAGTTATTTTAATTAATTTCCTTTTAGTTTTTTCGTAGTATATAAAATTTGTAGAGACTATTCAAAACAAATCAAAACCTTCACTAAATTATAATTTTGGTTTTTGCGGTATCTTTGAAATTTCGGTTCTCATTCCTAAACTGCATATATTATGAGAAACTTAATTAAAATAGTCATTTTTATGGTGGGTTTCATCTCTCAGTCATTTCTCTTCAAAAATAACGAAAATAGCCATAGGTCCGCAATTGATAGGTGTTGAATTTACGGAAGTGTCAAAATGTAAAAAAGAAAGAAGTTTTTGACCATTTCTAGTTAAGTTTTTTTTTTCTTTTCTTAAATATTCCACTTTTAATTACTATAACATCATTAATTGAAATACTGTTTTTCTTTATAATCTCTCTTGTTGAAACTAAACCTGTGTCCTCAGATGTACCTTCCCCTAGCTCCCCTCACCAACTTGGGCGAAAACTTGAAGCACGATAGAACGAGTTTTCTGCACCAACTTCGATCTTGTTAAATCCGCTCATGGACGTAAGGTGGGAGATAATTAATGGGTTATACACATGCTTTAAGTGTGTATAAAACATGTGTACATTGAAATTTATTTGATTAAAAAAATCGAAAAAAAATGCTAGAATGCCCTAATGTGCATCTTATTTTAGCTGGCATAACTGGCCTCTACTAATGGTCGTTAGTCATGGTGACCAAAAGTGAAACGAAATGCAAAGTTGCATACCATAATGATACTAGCATACTAAATGAAGATTAGGGACGGAAATGGAAGTCTAGAACATATGAGAAGGGACAAAGTTGTAATTTACTACTCGTACCAAAATAATTGTCTGCATTTTTATTTAAGTTTGTTTCAAAATAAATGTTCTCATTTTTAAAGTAATGTCTAAGTTCTCGTTCAATGGTTAATTATGAGATGAAAAACAAACTCCCTCCCTTTAATTAAAAATAACACTGTTCTTTTCATAATTAAAAATATAATAATTACATCGTTATAAAATTGTTTTTTATTCATTATAAGCATCTATTTTAGGCCGACAACAATATATAACCATTTATGTACGATGGGGTCACGTTGCATTCAAGAAGCACATGTACATGTGTGTTGACAGTTGACACATATTCCTAAAGTTAAATATCTAAATTAAAGTTTGTGTACTAAATACTTATTTAATAAGCACTTAATAATGAGAAACGTAAAAAGAGATATCTATCTTTGCATCAATCCTAATTAAATGTCAACACTAATAAAATACACCAAAATGCGCAATTTATAGGTGAATATGAGATTAAAAGTGATCAAGTGTTCATATATATTTTATTATGCTTCTCACACGATATTTTGCTTATAACATATTGAGTTGTGATCATGTGAGAATAAATGAGTTTGATGAAAACAATGAGAAACTCTCATACTTCTGATCACGCGAGAACAAAAAAAAAATGTGGACTTTAATCTACCCATTGGCTTAAAAAAATGGACATTCTTCATCTTCACCACATTCACATTTACATTACTGTCACCTATTTTCACATACACTTAGTTATTTTACATGCATGACTTTGTTAAAGTTTCAGTTATTGCAATACAAATCAGGGACGGACCCAGAAAATTTTCTATACGGTGGCACCATATAATTAATATAATATAATATACATCTAAAAATAATTACAAAAATATGGTTTTTATGGTACCGATAAACAACTCGTAAACTTGTACCCGACGCGTTTTCATCTTTTGAAAACGGTCAATATATACCCAAAAATAATTACAAAAAA